ACAAAGCTTTAGCTTTCAATCTTGTTGCCACGCAGCATTCAAAGAGCTCGAGAGAGGTAATACACAAAGAATCGCGCGAAAGATCACTGATCAGCGGCTTCCGGCCATCCCCCGTTTTATTTTTCCAACACTTACCACTCATTCTTTATTTCAAGAATACTCACCGCTGATTTAAACAAACCCACCATGTCCACAACAATATTTATCGGTAGAGAGAAATGTTGATTTGCGCGTCGTATGCTGGATCATGATGCGAGGGCTTGAGGAGTAAGAAAAGTGGCTTTTTCAAACAAATTGGCTTTTTTAACTATAGATAGTGCCTCGTAGTCTACTAAATATTCGATATGTCACCACTGCGATGACTGAGATTTAAAAAATAATAAACACTGGTTAGAACAACAGAGTGGGTCACTGTTGTCACAACCCGCCAGCTAGTTTTCTGCCGCTGCTGCCCCGAAAGAGCCGCCGCCATTCGTTTCCCCGTCTCTCCTGTCCTCACTCCGTCGCGCTGCAGCGGCCGCAACTGACCTCACGGCTGACACGCGCTCTCCCATAGAAAGCCTTTCGACGCGGCAGGCCGTACCGTCCGCTCTTTCATCCAGCAGCCATGCCCGTACAATCGCACCGCCGCCTCCTGCGTCGTGGCACTGAGTGGTGTGTGGCGCTTCGATCGGACTCCCGGCAAGTGCAGATTCACTCTAAGGGGTGCTCGCCGGTGAGGAGGCAGTCAGCGCGAAAGGCGCGCAGGATCGTCGGCCACGACGCCGTCATAGACCTCCAGGAGTTGGCCGACACTGGAATTCGGCACAGCATGTAACCACGCAAGAAGGGGGCCAGCTTATATTGCCCGGTGGAGACGCTCCAAGTGGCACAGTGCGCGCATGTCCACCGTGAGCGACGCAGGCACGCGCGAGCTTACGCGAGTGTCTCGGCCACACGAGAGATAAGAGACATTCCGTGACACATGCGGATGGCGCGGCGGTGGTCTAGGTCTATGTGTCGCCACTTTGGTGCTTGGAGTTTACAGATCGGCAGTGCGCAGTGCACGGTAGATAGAGCCATCGCCTCGCATATAGTGCAGGCGAAGGCATCGGGGCAGCCATTGCCACGTGCGAACAGACGGCGCACAGCCACTTCTACGCGACGCATCATCTGGCGTACGTTTCGCACCACCGGAAATTGTGAGGCCGAGGTAGCGGACGTCACAGCACCAAAATATTGGCTTATCATCAAGCTGAAGGTAGGGAAGACGTCGTCGGGCCTAAGCACGAGGGTGAACGACGAGGGCCTTTCGGTGCCGAGATCGTGAGGCCAATGCTTCTAACGAAGCTGGCCACACACGATAGGCCCTCCTGCATGCAGGGGCACACCACTGAGCACTTACGAGTTGGTCCACGAACATAAAGAGCGACGTTGTCTTCGTACATAATTGAGCGCACAGGGAACAGCCGTTTCTGGAAGGCACTTGGTGAGCGGCGCGAGTACCAAAAGCGTATATAGGTTAGCACACGCTCCCTGCGTCGGCGTTGCGAGGCAAGAGAGAAGGAGAGAGCGCGCATGCGCAGTAAGGGTTGTCACGCCTCACACTAGATAGAGCTCGACCCTAAGCTGCTTCTAATCTGAAACTTGAAATGGCAGTAGTACGAAGGCAAGGTGTGGGAGCGGCCTAGTTGGTATTCCATGTCTTAACAGCTGAAGTGCAATAAAGGTAACAACGGACTAAGAAAACCACGAAGAGAAGCGCTGGTCCTCGTTGTTTTCTTAGACCGTTTGTTACCTTTCTTGCGCTTCAGTTGTTTAAGTTACGAAGGCGGCGGCAACGGGTTACGGCTTCCGCTTCCTCTGGTGTCTAAATGCAGCCTCAGGCGGGATTGAGGTGTCACTTTCGCTACATGATGCCGACGTTCACACGATTACATCCGACACAAGTGACGGCGTTATGCGATGACGTAATCTTTGCTTGCATATGCCGTGTATGTATGCTGCGGAGTCGGCGAGCAGCGTGTGGCTCTGCCGTAAAGGTGACGTCATCAGAGCTGGAACGTGCCCAGACTTTATTTCGCACAAAAGACAAGTAAAAAAGCGGAGAAATCGCATTGGCTTTGCTCTCTGTGCCTGTCTGTAGGAGATGCACTGCTGAGGCTGCTGCGTGTGTGGGAATACTCCTGACGAACGCTCTGTCTTTTTTATCACGTGTGTGCTCCCAAGTGCGTCAGGAGAGACGGCATAACGGAGTGAGTTTAGCCTTGAGTGGCGCCTTAATCTTTCAATCTTTACTAGTACCTAAATGTGGCAGTGTACCGTCGATTAAAGCAGCTTTTGAAAATTTGAAGTTTTCAGGAACAAAGCTACAGTTTCGTTGAAGCATGCCGCGACTGCTTTTTGACCTTATGAAACATCGCTAAATCACTGCTTATATAGACGGGGCAATGAAAGAACATACATGGCGAAGGCCGCTTTTCTGCGTTTGTCTTTTGCTTTTTTTTACTTTGTTTTCCCGCTATAATTACCAATATAACCTATTTGCGTCAGACCAGTGTCCAACCAGACCATAGCGGTATCCTAATTTTTACCACTCGTGGTTTCCTTGCATTTGGCCTTCATGGCGGCCGTTGATGCCGGGATTTGAAAGTGCGCCTTCTTGCTTTTGCATGCCATACTTACGCCGCTAGACGACCACAGCAGGTGAAGTAAGGGATTTTGTTGCTTTGGGGTTTCTTCGTATTGCCGATATATTACTATTCAGCGCTTGAGGATGCTTTTTTTTCCTGTTCCTGTAGTTAAAGCGAGCTTTTATGTACACATTTGCGTTTGGTAATCTCAGTTTCCCGTCGTTACGCAACTTTTTTGCTGCAGTTTCATTTTTGAAGTATTCCATACTCTTGGCGGGCATACTTCAATTGAGCTGTCAATTTTGAGCATTTCAAGTCTCATCACGCCGGCCTGGCAGGCGGTCCAGGCCAGAGGGTTCCTGGAATATGGAACCCTCCCACATTCACTCATTGGCCACGTAATAGATGTTTTCTCTCTCTCTCTCTCTCTTTCTGGATACAAGTCTTATTATCATACTATTGTTAGAAAGCGCATAGGAGAAGACTCGTGCACTAACACTCAAAACGATCTGTGTTGCCACCTGGGTCGTAACTAAACGAAGCCCTAAAACTAAGGGAACTGTGATTTTGACCAGATGAACATGTAGCTGCAATGTTATCTATCATTTCATTCGGGAGTGAAGCCAAAATATATCTTAAAGGTTTTTGCTGCGAAAAAGAAGCTGTCAATCCGGAAAAACTCGGCTGAAGCTGCATGATGTTTAGCGCATACATTTGGGGGCGGTGTGAACGCCTATCTCGGGCAGGAATTGCAAAATAGGCACCAGTTGAAGTCCACGAGTGTTGAAGATACCAGTTCGCTATACCAGTTCAAGCACTAGTTGAAATTTTAGGACGCTTGACTGAAGCGGCAAGCTTGTATATCTTAAACTGCCAGCCTCGCAGGCGAGCGTTGAGAGGTGTTGGATTTATCAGAACAGCGGTCGCGCGTACAGAGCGTATCACCACTTGGTGACGTGCTGCTTCTGAGATCATGCCCGCTCCATTGACTCAACGCGCTAAGCCTGTTCAAAGAATTCGTATATCAGTTAATTTAAAAGGTAAATAGTGCGTTGTAATTTCAATTTCAAATCTTTCTGCGCAAATAAAAACTGTTGTGTAACTAAAGGGAGCTTCTTCGGGGGAACAAGACCAGCAACGAAACAAATCAAAACATTTCATTCCAACATATCTGGGTACAGCGCGCTCCGCCGCGGTGGGCTAGTGGCTAAGGTATACTCGGCTGCTGACCCGCAGGTCGCGGGATCGAATCCCGACTGCAGCGGCTGCAATTCCGATGGAGGCAGAAGTGTTGTAGGCCCGATTTCTCAGATTTGGGTGCACGTTAAAGAACCCCAGGTGGTCGAAATATCCGAATCCATACACTACGGCGTCTCTCATAATCATATGGTGGTTTTTGGACGTTAAACCCCACATATCAATCAATCAACCAATGGGTACAGCGCGAAAACAAGGAAGACGGAAGGGACAAAGATCAGCACTGAATTGTGACTGACATGTTTGATTTGAAGAGCACATGAAAATGAAAGCCATAAAAAACAATCAAAAGAGACCTATATACAGTACGCTGAAGCGGTAAAGTTGAGTATAAACACCTACACAGCGTATCACCTCTAGACGGGCGAACTCTTTGTCCGTAAGATACATCGATGCCTCACTGACGAATGGGTCATACATTCGTATATTATGTGTTACTTCTCACATTATCTGGGAGCTTTACTTCCACAAAATGTCTGTTAAGGAAACATGCTGCCTTATTAAAAAGCCCAACCTTCAGTACTATTCCTTGCGGCAGAGTGTTCACTTGTTATGCGTGTTTCAGCATAGCTATCCAAGCTTTGAACGTCTGTTTGATTAAAAATTTACTCCTCCCAAGCATGCTTTCGGCTTTGAAGCCTGCTGGTTGATGCGTTGCAGTGCTACGCCTTAATAATTGTTTACGTCAGAACTTTTGTATGAAACCTTGACAAATTATTTTGCTTCAGTATATATGATAATCGTGCTTGTTGGTTTATTTTTTAAAATTGAGCTCGAAGCGCAATTTGTTTGGGAAAACAAACTTTCAATCTGATTTTTCCATACGGTCTCCTTTGCAATTTTGAAACTTTCTTAATGATACAATTTTAATAACCACTTCAGATAAATTTCGCTATGCTAACATACTTCCTCAATGTAACAGTCGGTTGGATACCCCTTTCATGCTCGAATCGCATGCGTGGCGAGAACAGGCGATCCCTGTGAACAATTACCCATTCTTATCTGCAAGGGACGACGCGCTATCGCAGATCACCCGGAAGGACGCAACCCGAGACGCCACGTGTTTAAGAGGCATTATCATTTGCCTGCCCCTATGCAGATAAACCGGCATATTTTCTTTTTTTTTTCGGGAAAGTGTCTTTACATCAAGCTTCAATCTGTTCGTTGCAATGCTTTAAGCTCTATTCGTCTGCGCTGAAGACATCGCTTCGTGGACGGCATTATTTTGAAAGATATGTAAGTGGCGATAAAATTTGCATGGTCATAGACTGCGTGCCGCAGTGTTTTATAGCACGTAGCCATGTTTTTCTGGCTCTTTATTTCGTTTGTTTGTTTCTTTCGTACAAGCGACGCTGTCAACGGTAGCTTTGTCCGTGTCGCGTTCGTGTCGGGGCAACGTAAAGGCGGCGCCGTCGTCATTTGTCGTACGAAAACGGAATGTGCTATGTTTGTAGCTATTCTTTCGTTGGATGCCGTTCACTCTATTTGAAATCGCGAATGACAAATGGAAACTCTCTTCAAATATTCCTGTATCCGCCGCAGTGGCGTAGTTGTTATGGTGCTCAGCTGCTGACCAGAAGCTCGCCGGTTTTATTACGGCCACGGCTGGCGCATTTCGACAGAAACGCAATACCATACACCCACGTACTGAGCGAAGTTAGTGCATGTTAAATAACTCCAGAATCATTTTCCGGAGCACTCCACTATACGGCGTCTCTCCTAACCATGTGGTGGTTTTGTAGCCGTAAAACTCTACATATCAATCGTAATTCTTACAATAAAAATGAATATTCCTAAAATTCTATTGCTCTTACTGGAGTATAGTCGTCATAGCTCAAATGTGTATAGTTTATTTCTTGTGACTATATTCAAGTTGTTCCGGTAACGTATATCCCCATACCGGTTGGTTACGATATCCCGTTTATTCAGCAGATGTTGTACATTCCGCGTATTTTCGTTTCTCGCGTGGTCATTTTGTTTTCTCTTCCAGAAGATCTTTTAATTATTCAGTATCTGTGTAGTGCGCTTTCTTCACGCTAAAAACAGTTACGCTGCCTTTGTGTTTTAGTGAAACATGGCGTTTAGCTTACGCAAGTGTACTCCAGCACTGAACTCTTCTGGGTGTTTTTATTGTGTTTTATTTCTGAAAATCGTGTTGAATTTTATGTTTCGAAATGAAACTCTGTAATTTAAATGCCGAAGATATGCGGTATCACGTCAGACAAGTCGCGCTGACGGTCTGCGGCTTATCTTGAATCTCCCGCGGTGCTAAACATAAATGCACGGGTGCTCCTGCATCTCCCCCCTCCCCTACCTAAATGCGGTCGCTGCAATGGTATTCAACTTGCACCTTCCTTTATAACAGGGCAGTACCTTAAGCGCCAAGGAGCCCGTTCGTTTACGCTAGCATCCTCTACACCTAACGCCTGCAAATTAGATTCGCTAGTTTCAGAACTGCCATTTTACTACGAAGCACAGCGTATAACGTAGGAAAATTATTACAATTTGGCTTTCGAGATTACTTCAACGCACCGGTAACGCTCAGTATGGGAGCGATTTCGTTCTCTATTTTGCTGTCATCACTAAACTACAGCATAACCACGCAACTACAACGGCGGGCAAGAGGTGCAAAAGACCAGTTTGGTCTTTCGATGGCTATATTGGGACTCCCTTTTTTTCACTGACACAGAACCATTATTAAAAGAAAAGCACCCTCTATTTAATCGGCGTAACTACTAGGCGCAAAAAAATAAGGACAACACATAATGTTAAGAAGACGGACAGGACACAGCGCTGGTATACGACTAACCCAACTCACATCTGCAGTAGTCACTTTTTCCCGTTCTTATAATATCCCCTCTCTTTCTATAGCATCGCCCTCGGTGCATTTCGATGTGAAATATGAATGGTTTCATTCACTCACTTATTTATTTGTAAGGTGCGGGTGCAATTCGAGTAACAGCAGTGCCCACCATGCAGCCGCCATGCTGGTGTCGCGGGTGCCATGGTGCTCGCTCTGCCGGGGGGCACTGCGGCGGGCTACCGGGACAAGTCCCGGCCCAGCAGTGTCTGGCCGTCGGTGGCTTTCGCAAGACGTAATTAAAGAGTTCGAGACCATCTTTGGACCCAAGAATGTGAGCACCACCGAAGCCATCAAAGAGCAGCACAGCCGCGACGAAGGGCCACACACGCCGGCACCCCCGGACGTCGTCGTCTTCGCCAAGGACACCAGCCAGGTGGGCCACATGCGATTTTCGTTTTCAAACTTGTTGACAAGTAGATGACGATCCGCTTTTATTTGATAGAGCCCAGGCACTTAAACAAGATCCATCGTGAACTTTCTTACAGCGCAACACCAGAAAAAATACAGGACAGCGAAGGAGTAGAACAGAAAGAAAAGACGGCGCTGACTCACAACTGTTGTTTATTGGAAAAAACGCGGTGAAAAAATATATAGGTCCCGGCAGCCTACACCACAACATGCGCAGAATACGAGGTGCACCGAGGTAGCGTTATCACACTCATGGCAATAAACAAGCTTGGCCTAAATAACTTAATTCTTTTTCATGCAGTGTGACGGATGGTTCACTAACGCACTTGCTACCCTTAATCTTTATATGATATGCCTCAGCGATTTCTCTAGTTAGCTGGTTAGGATGCTTGAAGATGATGGTGGTTCTCTCAAAAATGGGACGACAACCGCATGACCTGCAATGTTACGGCAGATGAAGTCGCGTGATCTCTTGAAGAGATAACTCATGCTCCCTTAAACGAACATGCCCGAGCAGCACCACAGCAGACAAACTGCGCAAACCTTCTGCTTCCTTTATTCTTGCATTTTAAGCTACTAATTGTTGCCAATTTGCGTTTCTCCATCATATTACATTTTAGCGAAAACGCGTATTTGTTCGTATGAATGGATTGTTGAAAAAGAGTTAAACCCAGCGCTAAGTTTCTATGCTGCACTAATACTAAGAATATTGCAATTATTTAAGCATTTCTACTGATTCGTTGAACGATATAGTTATTGGTAAGCTGCACCATGCGCCTCATCCACCAAGTGCTCAAAGGGCGCCTTCGTGTATAAAGCCCTCCACCACGTTGACCATGGACTTCGTGTACCAGTCAGCAGCGGTGTGCACTTACGGTGTTTCTGCTTAGGAAATCAGCACACAACGAAACTAAGGATGTATAGGAGATATTACTAGCATGTTTAACTGGATATAGCAAGGGTGACATAAGTGGATAAGAATTGAAGTTTATCAAAAACCACTTTGCTGTGAACTGAACATGCAAGTTTTGGAACGCACCTGATCTGATACGCATATATATAATATATATATATATATATATATATATATATATATATATATATATATATATATATATATATATATATATATATATATATATATATATATATATATATGCGTATCAAGTGATGGTTAGTAGAGGTCGAGAAGGAAGAAGTGCAGAACAGAATAAACATGGCGTATGAGCCAGGCCACGTCACCTGTTCATTGTAGCGTCACACAAGTCGACAGGATGAAGACCTCCCAGCCACTTCATCAGTGTCTCATCATCGACGCAGTTCTACACAAGACGCCCTGACCATACATCGACTACAGAATCATCATCTAGCCGCACACAGCGACCAGCACCATGACAAAATCATCGACCGACCTTCCCATCCCCAAGTACGCCGGAGCAGGGGACGGTGGACCTGTACAGGACTGATTCGACCTGTTCGAGTTCCACGCTACCGCTGCATCTTGGTCGGAACGGGAAATGGTTACGAACTTCAGTGACTACGTCACTGGTGAGGCATTTAAATTTTACCTCACCCACATATTCGACAACGATGAGTCTTGGCAAAAGATAAAACAAGCAATGATCGTTTGGTTTAAAAAATACGATGACGACTACGACGAAGACTTGCTCGTAACCCACCATCCACAGACAACTGCACTCAGTCGTCAATTTTACAGGCAGTCTTCAACCATTCGAACGCACAACAAGATTCGACCTCTGACAAAAGACGAAGTGGCACACGAGTTCAGTGGCAGACGACAACGCGTATTTTGGGAAAAACACAGCCATCGAGCGCGCCTCCCTTCTGCACGAAAGTCGGCATTTGCGAAGTCATCGCTTCAGCATATGACCCGAGACGTTGCCCAACCACCTGATGCCGTTCACTCTTTGTCTGGCATACGTGGTCCACCACCTGGGTTTTCATCACGCGGTTCTTCAAGCGCTCCTAACGCTCACCATTTGCCTTATAAGGACGCCGTATTTATGGTAGATGACCTGGCGCATCGGGAAAATACCCTGTCGAGCCATGCTTCTTCCACACGGGTTCATGCATCGCCATCCAGTTCATACACACTCGACTGTGGAAGAAAAACTGAAGGCTCCGACGCATCGAACGTCGCACGCTGCAATGCGCAAGAGCCTCTTATAGTGAACAGGGTAGAAGAAGCTTCTGAAGAACTTTCTACCAATTCTGAAGCATTATCTTCATTGCCCGAAGTGCATGACAACAGCCCACAAACTACCAGCTGCCGACTGGGCCCCACATCAAGTTGTGAAGAAAACGAGCGCGATGTTCAAGAAGGGATCTCACCGCAATGCGTTCCACAGCAACATCAGCAACGCCAGCAAAAGCAAGTCCAAGAACCATAGACACTCCAACGGATACACCGACAAGGACGACGACGCAAAGTCAGCCTCTTAAAACAAATTCAAGACGTCGGGTATCTTTGCGTAAGGAATCGGTGCCAGAAACGCATTTGGCACAAAATATCAAGACTGCGCCTAAGATTACAGCTATGAAACCTCAGGAAACACTGAACAAGACAAGAAGTTACCGGTTCTAACACGCAAAGATTCAGATACCATCCCATTAGTTCACGACAACGGAGCCAACGCCACAGAAACTACAAAAGAAACTGAACGCTATAATTTGTACAATGCACGAACATAGACATAATTCCTTGAACTTCAGTTCTTGTACACGCAGGCTGCAAGCACTAATTCTGTTTCAGCCGCGACACAGAATACAGCGCGTACGACAGAGGATTCTGCGCCAACGACATTCGACCTTAAAATGCTCCAAGGACTTCCAACCTTGTTCGTTCCTCGCAGGTGCTCAAGTCACGTCATGGTCAGTGCAGTTTTGCAAGACGCGGTTACCTTCTCCAGAACGCCACAGCCAACCTCGCCCACCAGAACTCCCCCATTTACCGGGCTGCTGCACTCTTTTCTGAAGTTTTGCGAGTTTACGGAACACCACAGGGCCATGAAACCAATTGTGCATTTTGACATTTGTGACTTCTCAACATCTCCTTGTTTACTTTTTGTTGTGCGTAATCCATGCCTTCTTTCGGGGGGAGGGGGAATCGTGTGACGTATCAAGTGATGGTTAGTAGAGATCGAGAAGGAAGAAGTGCAGAACAGAATAAACATGGCGTATGAGCCAGGCCACGTCACCTGTTCATCATATATATATATATATATATATATATATATATAATATATATATATATATATATATATATATATATATATATATATATATATATATATACCAGCCTTCTAGGAAATGAAATGAACCTTCGATATTCAATAATCCACCTCACCCCACCCCCCCCCCCAACTGTTCTGTGCATAGCCAATCAAATAAATTTCAATCAACAAAATACAGCATAAATGTGCATATTAGGGCAGCGTAAATGTAGTTTCTGTTTAAGGTCTTTCACAATGCATTTCGAACTTTCGCTCATGAGCGAATCTCTCTTCTTTTCTTTGTGCGTGACAGTGTCTGTTCTTCTTTGTTGAGTTGCGCTTTGAAGTTTCTTCGTATGTGCCTATTATCCTCTTTTTGGGCAGGTGAGTCAGACGGCGAAGCTGTGCTATAAGAAGGGGATTCCACTGACGGCATTCGGCAGCGGCTCCGGCCTCGAAGGCGGCGTGAACGCCGCGAAGGGTGGCGTCTGCATTGACGTCTCCCAGATGGACAAGATGGTCGAGCTTAACGCCAGTGACTTCGACGTGGTCGTCGAGCCGGGCCTGACGTGGCGCAACCTTAACCAGCAGATTCGCGACACCGGCTTGTGGTTTCCCGTCGACCCGGGCGCCGACGCCTCGCTGGGCGGCATGTGTTCCACCAGTGCGTCGGGCACCAACGCCGTGCGCTACGGCACGATGCGCGAGAATGTCCTCAACTTGGAGGTGCGTGCACGCTTGGGCTTGCTTATAGGCTTGCTCAAGCCTTGAATAGGCTTGCTTTGTCACATAGTCTGAGTTTGTGCGTTTCAAGTGACGCTAATATTATTATAAAATCTCTTCGTGCGTGCGTGTCTGTCTGTACTGGAGAACACGCACGCCAGTCGTTGTTGCATTGGAACCTCGATATTTATTTGAAGCACACAGCGTAAGAAGAAAGTCATGGCACGCACGCTTCCTTTGCTATTTACACGTAACCTGCCCGTTGCACGCGTGACCACTGTCTTATGCACACCTCGCCGGCAAGTCAAGCATTCTCGATTGTGTTACATTGCTCTTATAAAAATGAGAGCACGACGAGAACACTTGGTGTTCTGTAAACAGTGCGTCCACCAATCATGAGGCTCGAATCTTCGACGCAACCTCTGTAAACGCTGACGCGCCTTACCATCGATGCGATTACTGGACAAAGTGCTACTGTTTCCGCCGCTATTAAAGTATAGCGTAAATTACGTGTACTTTGAAATGTCGTATTTTGGTGCAAGTTCGCCTAAACAAAGAAGTTTCTAGTTTGAAATTCTGCTAGAATTTTCTTCACTGTCATAATACGCGTGACAGCATAAACAACCATCAACGTATTTGAATTCTGTTTTAAGCCAGAATTGCACACAACATATGTACAGTGAATTCATGAGTAGCCGGATGATGATCAATTTATATGCACATTTATGCAAGTATTATGCACTACCGCAAGCATTTTGCCGCTGTCACATACGCAACGTTAGTTTCACACTTGCACTGGCCAGTCAGATTGCGCATGATCTGGGCGCTATCGACTTTCTCGCATGCCCAACAGCGGCATAGACTCATCCTTATTCTCGCATGTCGTAACAGTATACGACGAAGAATTGCGTCTTTGTACGCGAATGCGTTAACACTACATTGAGAACGTGCCTGAGCAAGAAACAACTCATATAAATGTCTAGAACTAACCTTAAGATCAATAAAAACTTTATTCCGCTATGGTAATGAGAATTACCAAACAATAATGCCAGGGAAAGCATAGAGGACGCTATCAGAGGTAATTTTACTGTAAATGAGAAAAAGAAGAAATGGACGAAATGACAACTTGCCACCGGCAGGAGCGGAACCTTCAACTTTCGAAGAACGCGTCCGATGCTCCACCACTTGGTTGCGATCACGGTGATTCCTCCGTGGCTCAGCAAATAACGGTCGACCACATCTGCCGGCCCGGTCCCCAATTCTAATCAAGGTGGTGCCCCCTCTGAAAAATATTTCTGCCTACGCCCCTGCCGTCCACGACTTCAGCTCACGGGGTTCCTTGCTTATAGATTACATCAGTAGAATGGGCCAATATGGCACTGTCACTTCTTCTAAATGTTGTTTTGACTTACAGGCGAAATGCGGTCAGCTTAGAAGACTCATCTATATTATAACAGCTGCCATGAAATGTCATACAGCTTATGAGCTCTTTCATTATACACTGCTTCATTCATATATGAATGAAGCTGTAAAAAAAAAAAGACTGGCCACTGATATTTCTATTGAAATATGAAATTGTCGTTTAGACCACGGTACGCAACACTTCGCAGCATGCTCATTCGAGGGCGCAAAATAATGCGGCTGGCTGGCGCGCAGTGCATTCAATATCGCTATCCAGTCCAGTCGGTATCACATTCTTTCACCATGATTTAGTCGTTCGCAGAAGCTGTGAAACTGGGCCCATCATTCATAATTTTCACCCATGTGTAGCTCGACGGCGATCGAATGTGCACCGTATGACCACCGCAGAAAATTTCGCCAATAAGTATTAAAATTGTGCGAACGATAAACTTTACTTCGTGTGAAATTCTACCTAGTTACAACAGTGAATGAGGCATGTACACGCATGTGACTTTCGCGTTTGCCCACAGTTATACCGAAAAGGTCACGGCTGCATACGGCTGTAAGAATGCTGTGTTGTTTCCCACAAAATGGGGAATCCGCTTCCGCTGTGCTTCATATGGCTATTCCTGCTAAACAATAATGTAAGTTATCCCATGCTTGTGGAGTCAACCGTGGCTCGTAATCAGATGCAAACCTACAATAAATGAAGTAGCCTGGTGGAGCGCATTTCTTGCAGCAAAAAAAAAGAATCTTTGCACCAAGCACACGTTAATACCCATCTAATGCTTGTTCTCAGCTTAATACCCATCTAAGCTTGTTCTCAGCTTAAGCACTCGCGTCTGGTCCTCCACCAGGTTGTTCTCCCAGACGGCACGGTGATTTACACGGCGGGCAAGGGGCGGCGCACGCGCAAGACATCGGCGGGCTACAACCTGACCAACCTGTTCGTCGGCTCCGAAGGCACGCTCGGCATCATCACGCAGGCCACACTGCGACTTCACTCGGCACCACAGGTGAGCAGTGCCACGAACGCAGCGTGGGCATCACGTGATTTATGCGTGTTATTGGCAGTGCTAGAATATAGACAGAAAGATGAGTAAGTCAGCGCGTCTCGATGCGGAACAGCCACAGACAAAGGCTGCATCATCGATGCCGTGGGGGTGAAAAGGTGATGCTGCCTCCGTGGTCATCGCAACATTGATTACGTTTCAGTGAGTTTCACTGAAGTGCGCGTGCATAGCAGCGAAAGCTTCATTTTATTATAGTCGCAAGAGTACATGGACAACAATAATAGTAATGATAACAATAAAGCTGGGGGTTTTTGTCATTAAAAAACGGTATGATAACGAGACACGCCTTAACGTAAATTTGGACCAACACGAAGTTCGTTAACGTGCACTTACATCGCACAGTACACGCACATCAACCATTTTGCCTCCATAGAAATACGACCTCCACGGCTGAGATCGAACCCGCGACCTGCGGGTCAGCAGCCAAGCACAGTAACCACTGTTTCACCGAGGCGGAGCGAATAGACAACATTCATCGAACTTCATGCAGCTATAATCAGTGTTCTTATTACAGAAGTCAAAACAATAGGCTTCACACTAATCGCACGGCTTTCTCGCCATGAAACAATTATTTAATGTGCATTTTCTTTTATTGCGATAGTAACTATATGAAGAATCTCTGCTAGTTTTTTGCCGTCGCAGCCGTCGCTGCCATCATTCACCGTATATGTATACGTGTCTATATACAGGGTGTCCCACACAACTTGAGCCTAGAATTTGAAAATGAGACACCTCGGAGGTAAATTGAAATAAACGCGTACTACTCGCACTTCCCTGTAAGTACTCAGGCTAGTTTTATTCATCCCCATACTAAGTAATAATAACTTTTATTTACCTTTTTTATTATGGGCTGAAAACACAAAATATGAACACTTAGATTTTGAGCGCTTTCCGAAACCACCGACAAAGTTGTTTCCTGTATCATAGTCTAGCACTGTTATTTTTTCAGCGTTATAAAAAAAGCCTATAGCACCACTATGGCAGTGCACTCACGGCCCGTCAGACGGCTTTTTTTCACGTTTCGCGGGGTTTCTTTACAACGTGGAAAAAATAACAGCGCGAGACGTATTGTACAGAAAACAATTTAGTCGGTGTTTTCTGCAAGTTCTCTACATCTGAGTGATCATAATTCAGGTTTCCAGCTCATAATTTAAAAAATTGGTAATTAAGAACTAATAATTATTTAGTACCTACAGGATAGTGCGAGTAGTATACGTTTAGTTTAATTCGCCTCCTAAATGCCTTTCACTTTCTAACTCTTGGCCTAAGTTATGTGGGACACCCTGTATATAAAAACCCAGGAAAGGAAAAAAGCCCCCCGAACTCGAAACCCATCTGGTCGAGATGCGCCAACGTGCGCATATCTCCCACGCGTACATTACACGGAAAGATTGCGTTTAGTTGCCTGGCGCACACAGATCACTTCGCTCGATGGGCAGGCCCCGTTTGCGAAAAGAGCTTGCATTTCGAGCACATCGAAGTAACAATTGGTACACTGGTTAGTTCGCACTCATATCTGTACCTGTGATTCCGTTTAATACGTCGCTTTTGTTTAAACCGCGTTAAGCGTCGAGCTGTAAACGTTGTTAGTTACCTCTCACCCTGTGTATGTTGGTTTTGTGAGTCGCTTCTACGTGAGCAGCGCGATGCACGTTACTATCTGTTAACCATTCTAAGCGTTACATTCCAAGTTGCTATCGCATTCATTGTTTCGCCCTCGTGGCGACACTGTTACTTTTTCGTGTAGTATTCTCGGATGGTTGGTATGCCCTATGGTTCGCGGGACGCAGTCCACAAGGTATTAATATTCATATCATACGTTCCCCGCACAATTTTTTCCTGTGTACACAGACCGTGACAGGTATATTCATTACAATCCATTCTGAGCATTTAATGGAAACCCCCATTGTAATAAATGGTGAAAACCCTGCTGTCAGACAAAATATCCTTGCACAGGTAAGATCTGCACATACAAGACGCTTCAAGCAGGCTTGTTAGGTAGCCAGTAAACGTGGAGCCAAGGTGGGGGCGACGAGTGATGAAAAAAAAAATCGCCGTGTGATGACGTTGCCGAAAGAAACCACCATGTCGTCACGAATTCTGGCGTGGCGGCATGCGACAAAACACCACACGATGCTGCTGAGCGCCCTCCTTTGGGCGGCGAGGAAAGCTTTAGAGCACGCGACCTCGAGAAACGAAATTGAATGCGCTTCTTGGAAATTTCACGTCTTCCCTGTTCCCTCGTACATCTCCTGAATAGAGAAAGAAAATGGCTTTCTCTTTCGAGTCGTTTTAAGTAAACGTACATGTGGCCTTGTCAGCATTTTTTTGTTTTGCTTCTGCTACTGCTGCTATTATAGACGAATTTCACCGAACATGCGTCAGGAAAATGCGGTGGTTCTCTCATCGGGCACTCGTTTTCGGGTGGTAGGCAAAAGTCACTGCACCTTCCGCTGTTGCTGCTAAGTCTTCGCTGTTGCGTGCTCTGTTTGTCGTCGTGCAAACGAAAAAACGGTGTACCGACGAGCTGTCACGATATTAGTGATTTGCGAGGGAAGACCGAAAAATAATGTGACTAGGTTTTTTGTTTTTTTTTAGTTCTTTGTTGACGAAAACCATTGCAAATCAGCCGCAGCTTTCAAATGCAATTTGCCTTCGACGCCGCTTTATTGGTTATGCCTTGAAGTGACTTACCCAGAGGCGTTGGAACAACCCATAGAATTACAGATTCTTTATAGGCCGTGGAGGCGTATCGAGCACGTTTACCTCAAAGCACGTTAATGTTTTGGATAGTATTGCCAATTGCGAAGCATTTTTCACAGTTGCCGTTTTTGATATAGCTGCAAAAGTCTTACACACGTCAAAACAATTTCGTTATACTCGCGTGAGCTGAAGGTGTCACGCCGTCATCGAGTATGTGTTCTTCTTGCGTGGGTAGTGTTAATTGAAGTTGCAGTGAATGAAACTATGAATAAAACTATGCTTGTTCTGATAATAGGCGGCTACAATGACAAACCTGACACAAGTGTATCGGGCAGAGATTTTGGCTGTGGTGCGCTTCACGAGTTTTTCACCTTTGTATGAATTCATAAAAAAACATTACCAGGGAAACTTGCCTATTCTGTTTACGGCCTATACGCGTTTTGCGGCGCCGAGTTGAGCGTACCAATTGAGCCGCGAACTACACAAATACGTAGCCGTAATGTCCACAGCATGTTGTGGAAGCATTATCGAAAGCGTATTGCGGATGAAAGTTTCGCCAAGATAGCCCTTGTAGTTTGCATCAATAGCTACTTCAGTACATTTCTTATACGCGAGGACTTACCGTAACAATCTGTGGCTGTGGGTTTTTACGTTACACATTTGCATATTGTACCCTAGAGCCTCTTGTTGAACTGGGTCTCTCCTTACATGAGTACAAATTCAAATGTGCACGGCTGACGTAGGTGCAGCAACGGCGATGAAATTTCGCAAATGAGCTACATTTATGCCATTCAGATACCTCATATGTTTTGATGAGGTTCTCAAAGCTATAGAGTTACATGTCAACACACTTGATATGGGCATTTCAGAGCCCCTCTACAGCCACTGCAACTTCCTCTACTGCGGCCGCCGCTTCTAAACATGCGAGAGGCACCCTGACGCGCTGTTCTCGAAGGCAGCTTGTGCGCCTGCTGCGCTTATTGTCACGTCATCATAGAGAGTGGTGGCGCGCTTTTAGCTGAGCCGGTTGGGCTAGGAAGGTTTTCAGCTACTTGTACATGAAGAATGTCGATACAAAATGGAGGAAGCGAACCAGGAAGTTGACTGGTAAATACTTAGAAAACAGCAGGTGGCCAAACCAAAAAGAACTATCGGTTAAGAAGAAAGTGAAGGAAACGGAGACTGACATGTGGAGAATGGGAATGATTGAGAAGTCCGCACTAGAGATCTATCGAACTTTTAAGCAGGAAATCGCCAAGGAAAGGATCTACGATAATACTCGGGGTAGTTCTCTACTGTTTGAGGCCAGGACGGGAGTACTGCGAACCAAGACATATCGGGCCAAATACGAAGGGGTAGACACAGTATGCAGTGCGTGTGGAGAGGAAGAAGAAACTGCCGAACACTTGATAATGTTCTGTAAAGGGCTTCACCCTATAGTTCAGGATGATGGCGCAGAGTTTTTCAAAGCACTGGGATTTAGGGACAGCGAGGGCAAAATAGACTTTAAGCGGGTAGACTTAACTAGAAGGAGGTTATCTGATTGGTGGCTAAAGTCAAGGCACGAGTGAAAATTAAATCCTTCACTGCGAAGTACGAATCCTCAACTTCATTATTTAAAGGAAAAAAAGATAAATGTAATGGTTAGTTCACTAAGTATTACGGCTAGGTGGCGTTAGCCGCCGCCCGATCTAAAGGGTACAGCCACATCCATCCATCCATCCGACTGGGTGGAGCCAACTCGGCGTGACGTCACTCAACGCCTACCATGTTTACAAACACGGAGTAGGTCTATGCATCGCATGCGCAATTATTTGCAGGCAGATTCTCGTACGACAAGACCACTGGGCTCTCGGCACCAATCAGAGCATTTTTCTATTATTCTTGACCCAACTGCACCTCACGGGCTTAACTTTCTTTCCATTTATTGAGAATCCCTGAATGGTGTGCCACACAACAAACTTGGATACTTCCCACCAACACTTTTAACGTGCCATTATTAAGTGAATGCCCACAGCATTAGTCTCTCCAAGCACATGGATAATGTAACCTGCATATTCTGAGATATCCTGAAATAAAAAATTTCATTTTCTTTATGTCCACACACCAAGTCAACAACCAACTTCGTGTGGTCGGTACCATAAGGACGCTGCATACGAAATTTCCATGTGATTTCACGACATTCAAAACGCGCGTTCTTGTTCTCTTGCATCTTAAACGCCTTTAATGACACTCCAGCGTACAAAGTCAAAATAAGATCAAAATTATTGCAAACCAATAAATGTGAGAATAAACTCGTTTTGTGCCTGGCATCAACTATTACAAATCGCATACGTGCAGCTGTAGCCCTATATGCTGTGCCGATATAATTGTGCTGTTTGTTTGGCGGATCATGAACAGTTACATTTCCGGTCACAAAACTTCATATCGCGTGTCCTGAACCATCAGCTATAATCAAGGTAGCAGATATTCCACTTTAAAGCGTATAAATTCTTTAGCTCATTGACTTATCTTTTTTGAATCACATGCCAAATCACTTAAATTTCCAATAACCCAAGATGAATTCAGACCTGTCATCCCAAACCACACCCCTAGAGGACAGCAGCAGCAGCAGTCTGGGCTCGACGTCATTTCAGGCATCACGTTATAACGATTTCGAGCGCAGGTGGTCGTGGCGGCCGTGGTTCCCTTCCCGACCACAACGGCGGCCGTCGAGGCTGTGGTGCAGACGCTGCAATGCAACGTCCCCGTGGCCCGCATCGAGTTCCTGGACGAGCACACCATCACGGCCTGCAACAAATACAGCAAGACAGACTATAAGGTGACGCCTACCCTGTTCCTCGAGTTCCACGGTTCCTCGGACGAAGCCGTGAGAGAGCAGGTTCGTGCACCGAGCGTTTGATGAAGCGATAACTACAGGAATTACTAAGGCGAAACACGTCATCAAATACAGAAAGTGACAATCGCATGAGGCAACATCGACACACGCACAAAAAAACGTGGCTGGCCTGTCTTTCAAGGAATCGGCATAACACGAAATTGATGGGTGGCGAGAGCGCGCCTGTGCCATCGGTCTCCTCTCTAGTTCGTTCTGTGTTGCATTCCACTTTTTGCATACAAATTGTACTTATGCTTTGAAGAACATTTTGAGAAGACACTGATTCAGAAGCGTACGTTTTGTTTCATTGCTACGTTTGAACACGTTGTAAGCGCATCGGGTGACTCACGCATAAAAATACTTCAGACCACCCACGTCTGCGTACTTTATGAACATACTTTTTAAAGAAAAATTTCAAATATATCAGACAAAGAAACGAATATGTGGGTAGGCCACTTGCGAAACACCCGTGGGCCTCGTGTTTGAGACCCCTAATATAGAGGTACAAGTACTTAACGTACACCTTAGCTGACTACGTAGGGGGGGGAGGGGTGGCAATCGAGCATTATCTACACCCTCCTAACAAGAAAAAAACGACAACGGGGTCATAACTCACCTCAGCGGAAAACATGAGCACAACTCAACTCATATGCTCAATTGTTTTGTAAGTAATCCGCATTTCATGCAATGTCTCTCATTTTCAGTTAAAATGGTTCCCTTTGTACAACAGTTTTTACACCGCAACGAGCCCAACTGCGCAATCAGAAAATCGATAGTGCCAACATGACATTGCAACAAGTTGGGACTTGTAGGCGTGGGGCTATTTTTCTTTTCTATATCGGTGGTGAGGCTTGTGCGTTAGATTTTTAGACTGCAAAGGTGTCCCGACAGTGCTTTTCTCTTTTAGCTCAAGCAGCCTTCTCTTTGCCAGGTGGACATAGTGACCGAGATTGCGCACGGTAACGGCGCATCGGAGCTGCACTGGGCGCGCGAGCCCGAGGAGCGCAGCAAGCTCTGGAAGGCGCGGCACGCCATCTTCTACGCCACGTGCGCCCTGCGCCCGAACACGCGGTGCTACGTCACCGATGTGTGCGTGCCCATTTCGCGGCTTCCGGCGCTAGTGGCGGCCGCCAAGGAGGACATCGATCAGCACGGCATCGTGGCCACCGTCGTGGGCCACGTGGGTGACGGCAACTTCCACACCATGATGCTGTTCGACCCGCAGGACCCAAAAGACACCGCCAACATCTTCGACGTGGCTCACAAATTGGCCAGCAGGTGCGTCTGCATCAGACGAAGAGCGGCTCTTTTCTCTCAACCAATTTCAATAACGATTCTTGACACGCTGGTGGTTGGTGGTGCATCACTTCGTAAAGATAACAGCACAAACACAGAGAACTATAGACAGGACCGGTAAGACAAGGTATATATAGAGATCCGCACTGTGCAGGGCTGGTGTCTGTTTCTCGTATTCGCGCTGTCATCCTTATGAAAGCGACCGATTCTGCTCGCAGAGTACGACGCACAAAACTGGTGGTATGCACTCAAAACTTCATCGTGGACAAATCGCAGCCTGACTCCCCAGCAGGAAAGTAACCAGACAACAAATCGGAGAAACGAAGAGCAATTCGCTTGCTACTTCGCCTTTTTTCGTGATTGTTCCTGTAATAATAACTTGCCACAGTACATTCTTTTTCCCAATGCACCGCGCAACTCACAAAAACCTTATCTATGTTATCTTACAGAATAATCTACAACCTGTATACTATTTATGGTTTATACAGTACTTCAACGAGAAACGGCATCAACGTTAATCGTGATTAACACGAAATAAAGTCCATCAGGTTTCTTTTTTTTCTTATCATGTGCCTGCGAACTACCTCTACGTGTGATGATTCATCGCTAATATCAGTGCGAGAACTCGAGCGTCTCCAATATGCACAGCACTTTCAGTGTCTTCATATAAGTTGTCATTCAGCAAAACAGCCAAAAGAGCTCAACACGCACACTGCTAATCTTGCACGATCTCGGCAACAGGCATGTTAGGAAACATTAGCAAAACTATATAGACACGCATTTCAGCTCACTCACTTATGAAGGCTTTCATTTGCTTTAGGAGACATGCAATTTTACGCCGCCAAATCAGTGGTTGCCAATGCCAATAATTATGTCATAATTACCTACGTAGTGTATCAATTACTACTCTTTGGTTTTATTTACATTTTAAATATATGAAATGCTAATTTTAAAGATTGTAAGATGGACAGTGCTCAAGCTTCATCGTACTGTTCGCCTAAACTTGCGAAGAATCGCATTGCGGTCGTGCATTAGGCTCATCAATTACCAACCGTGTTCGTTTTCTTTTTTTTTTGAGATGACTGTCAAGGTCATGTGGGCCAAGCATGTTTATTATGTATATCATGATTGAAGCAAAGAAGAAAGCGGCAGCAGGGCATCCTCTTCAGCATTATCTGTCGTGCCTCTCTCTACCACGCATCGCTCGAGGACATCGCTACCGCTCTGCATCCATTGTGTGAACCTGTAGCTCAAATAACGACTGAAATCACAGTCTGTGTGCGTAATCGTCGTTCTCGTGCATTTTACAATAGAGAGAGACATGCTAGATAGCACCTAATGAGATGTCTGAGGGTAGCACTCCTCTATGCTAGAGGATATATAAAATCGTTGTTAAATGTTTTGACTCAGCAAGAATATTTCACGAAGGAACTGAATTCAGCAGTGCACTCTCAGACTGCTTTTAGCGTAGTAGTTCAGAAATACTCCATAATCAATATATTGAGTTTTTCGCCTTTGGGGTCATGGGACGACAGCCTTAGTCATGCCTTACCAGAACAATGAACATGTATGTTATCGTTCTCCAGCTCTGATCGATAATGACGCAATTTCTCCTGCATTGTCATCCTTCGGGACGGCTGCCCCTTATTTGCGTTTTCCTGCCATGTTATTCGTGAGTTATTGCGCTCGCTAGATGGTGCATTGTAGCGCGAAAGCTGTGAAAACATTACCCTGTTCGGTGTATCCATCTGTTCCTGTGCGCGTCTTACAAGACCCAATGACTTTTTGGAGCTTTTGTACTTGGCGTTTAAACTCATTTTTTTTTCTTGCGCAGGGCTCTGGACCTGAACGGTACGTGTACAGGAGAACACGGTATTGGTATCGGCAAGCGTGGCCTGCTGGTCCGAGAGGTTGGCGAAAGCGGCGTTCAACTCATGCGCACACTCAAGAACGCCGTCGACCCGAAGGGCATCATGAACCCGGGGAAGTTGTTTCTCTAGAGACTTGCCCTCGTGGGCCACTCGGTATATCTCATCCTGCCGGCAAATGCACCTCGCGCCACGATGGGTGTATCAAAGTCACTGCGGCGATCGTTCTTGACTACAGGGATCCATCATGTCAACCGTCTGCGTGAGCGAGAAACGAGGCGCGTCACTATTAGAAACGGTTGAGACAAATGGCTGGGCGCTAAAATTTGGTTGCTTTAAATTGATCGTCTTTTTTTCTCAATTTTCTGGTTTTAGATTTTATGTAAATGCAGGGGAAAAGGAGGAAGAGACCGTTACGTATAGTTTGTGACGTACTTATCCATAGACGAAAGTGCTTATGTGCTTGCCATCTTTGTCGGTGGTGCGAAGCCCCTACGGGTCATGTCTTCAAAAGAAAAAACGAAGCCTTGATTCACCTGTCTATCTGTTAACTGGAAGGTCATCTACCTTACATAGGTGTTATTTTCAGATATATTCTAAAAGCCTGTTGCTGACTTACGAACTTGTCTTGTACGTAATCGTAGCCTGTTATTGAATTTCTAAGGTACGTACAAATACCTTTTTCGTTAATATATGGAGCCGTCTCAAGCTAGTCGTCTTCTTCGTGTCGCAGGACATAAATACATGATCAAATGTATATACGGTTGTTGTATTATATCGAGATTTTCCCAACCACAAGAAAATCAGAGTGTGAAGTTGCTGAAAAGTATTAGCAAAGCCCATCTTTGATAAAAAAGCGGGTATGGGCATGTCTCGAGCCTATGTTTGCTTGATTTCCTCAGCGTCATGCTCAGTCAGGTAGTTTAAGTACCTATCATAATGTTTCGTGAGTGCCCGTGACTCCTCTCATGTGACAAGGCGTAGGCAGTAGTCAATTTATTTATAGCAGGTCTTGAGAAACGATTATCTGTGTAAATATTTTGCGGTAAAGTTCCAAATGCAATGTTGTCCTTTGTATAGCAGTATTTTATTAATGCCAACGAAGCCTTAGCAAATACGTCCGTGGTGTGTATACAAAATTGTGATGTTAAAACTATCGATAACAATACGCAACTATGCAATTCATTCGACCGTACACGGATGCAAGTAGAAAAAAATAGAAAGGAAACTAGTCTTTCGTTTTACTGTGATGACAATTGCATAACTGTTATGTTCCAGAATGCTCCAGTAAACTACTCCTCATGGCGTAATTAAGATATTAGGTTAACAAGTAAATAAATTGGTTACAGTCCGATTCCATGTGTCAGCGGCAAGTGCAATAACCTGGCATGAAACGCTGCCTGTGCTGTTACACAGTTGTCGCAAGTAAGTGGTTCATTTACATACAAAATGTATCCTCGACACCGTTAGCTCTCCACAAATAGCCACCAAAGAAACGAAACAACACGAATACAATTATTTTGGAAATCACACCATTTGAGTGTACTTTTAGGTTGTTTCATTCTGCGCAGTACGAATAAATGCGTTCATCCACATAAAATTCTGCTGGCTGTTTGATTCTCGGTCGCACCACTCTGCTGTTGTATGCATCCTAAATACGAGTCATGCAGTCAACGTAAAAATCCATCCATTGATATCAATTATAGGGCTCGGTCAAGAAGGAGCAAATTCAGTAGGCACCCGAGTTCAGTGGAGATTTTCATTTTCTCGCTTTTCGTGCTTCTCAACGTGGAACAAGGTGAGTGACTAACTTATGCTTTGCACCAACAAGAGTGGAGGAATCGGTGGGCACGAGTCGTTTTCTGGTGAATACACCCTGCTAAATGTCATACGCTTGTATATTATGGGTGTTGGGATACGAGAGAGAGAGAGAGAAGAAACATTTTATTAGGTACATTTAGGCAAAGCATGTGGGAAAGGACCCTAGTCCGGGTTCCCTATGACGATCTCGGCGACCAACCTGACCCGTTGAACCAAGGCCTGGCGGACCTCGGGGGCCCGTCGCAGAGGGCGTCGTCCCACAGCACTTTGGAGCGGAAGGGGTGCACGACAGCGGGAAGGAGAGAACATAATTTTGTGGCGCACTCCACCGTGACATGAATTACTGTTGGAGAGCTGCCACAGCACGGGCAAGATTCTACGTAGCTGTCAGGGTATAATTTATGCATGAAGAGGAGGCTGGGGAACGTTTGCGTTGGGAGTTGGCGGAGTGCCACTTCTTCAACTCGCGAGAACGACGGTGATAGCGGGTGCATGGTGCGTCTATCTCTGGTTTCATGTGCCAATATGTCTCGGTATCTAAGTGCAGGGCCCACTTGATCTGGACTCCAAGCCTCACCATGCCGGGCGGTTCAGTGGATAAGTTGTCGAGTGACCGCGTGAGCGCGATCACTGCCCGGCATGGAGGCGTGACCAGGAGTCCAGAGCAAGTGCATACGTTGTGGGCTGGATGTTTCGATGTTTAATGCCTTCAGTAAGATGTGTAGAGCTGCCCTGAGAAAACCTCGTCCCATTAAAAAGCCTCGCATTGCAGGCTGTGAATTGGTTAGTATGTAAACCTCCCCAGGGATGTCAAGAGCGTGTCGGACAGCAAGCGCTACACCAAAGACTCAAGAGTATGCAGAGAAATGAAGCGGCCCACGCCGCTGGCCGCGACCACGTCAGCCGGGCAGCCCTCAACCCGTAGGACACTCGGGAGCTTGTTGCTCGACATCAGGAAGTCTGAACAGAGGCCACTCTTCGCACCGACTCATCTAGGGACTGAATACCAACCACGCCAATTAGTTGGCGTCAATATATATATATATATATATATATATATATATATATATATATATGGGATATGGCACAACGGGAGCGTTGTCAACAAGGATAAATATATTTATTTCCAAACAGTTTCGGGAGCGGTCCTCCCTTCATCGGGGGATGAGTTATACTAACATGAACTTCAAAACTTCGTTTCTGCTGTGTCCCTCTCACCTTGAAAGATATTTGCGAGAGTGATGGAGAACTAAAAAAGAAAGAAAGAAAGAAAAAAAGACAAGAAAGAAGATGAAAAGAAACAAAAGAAAAAAAGAAAAGAAAGAAAAGAAAGAAAAGAAAGTAAAAAAGAAGAACCACTGTCAACACTGAGAACGAAACCAAATGTCCGTGTACGTCCACATCCGGTTCTTATCCCGTGCTGGTCAGTTCTCGACGTGTGTCGGGCCACCCAAGATTGTCGCCGCGGTGGCGCGGTGGCGGGAGGGGTCCGTGACGGCGTGCGTAAGGAAGGGTTTCCCCTTAATTGGTCAGTCGGCTCTTTACCTTTCATCTTCGGCCGTTTCCCTTCAATGGACATCAAGTGGTAGGAGAACATAAACACTTTGTGCAAGTGAAAAAAAGAAAAAAAGCAAAAAAAGAAGAAAAAACAACAAAAAACAAGAAAGGACAGTGTACACATACGAGACAGTCAGAAAAAACAAGCATGGTCTCCAGCTATCAATCTTTGTCACCAATTTCCTCCAGGCTTACTTCTCGGAGGCAGGAGAGTCTTTCGGGGTCTTCGTTGATGCCGGCTACTAATGTTCGAAATTTGAAAATAAAATATGCCTCACGCTGTTCGTGCTCGCGCCTGTTTGAGAAACCGGACTGCAGAAGAGTTACGCTGATATTTTCAAAACTGTGGTTTGGCAGGCGCAGATGTCCTGATAGAGGTAGCTTCGGCAGTAAAGTAGCGTGGTACCGGTGAATATTGAACCGCAGCCAAATAGCGTGTCTGTTTGGCCGATATATTCTTGTCCGCAGATGTTGCAATGTAGCATGTATATTACGTTACTGGAGTCACAATTAAGGCTTTCAGTTATGCAGAATTGGAAATCCGAGAAGTTCGCTTTGGATTCACGTGTTGTGACCATCTGTGGGCATACCTTGCATCGAGCTTTTCCGCAGAGATGGCACCCTGATTGAATTTTGGGGGTGTTTGTTTTTGCTCTTACAAAAATGTCCTTCAGATTTTTATCCCTGCGGTACACCACGTGAGGTGGCTTCGCGAAATTAAAGTTAGTTGTTTGCTTTGCCTGATTATGTTGAAATGGCGGGAAAGTATGTTGTTGATTCGTGGCGCTGATGAGGAGTAAGATAGTACAAAGTTGGTTTGGGAAGTCGTTCTAGATACTCTGTTCGGTCCCTTAAATATACCATTCCTGTTCACGTTGCGAGCACGTAGTATGGCATCGTCAATAATGTCTTCCGGATAATTTTGTTTCAATAAGGAATGCTTTAGGTGTTCTGCCTGTCTGTAAAATTCTCGCATATCGGTGCATATTCTTCGGTACCGGTAGGCCTGAGAATATGGAATATCCGTTTTTCTATATATATATATATATATATATATATATATATATATATATATATATATATATATATGTCAAGTATCTATGTATGTATGTATGTATGTCAGTATGTATGTCAAGTATCTCATGACTACACGTTACGCTCATAGTGCGCTCGCGGTTGTTTCGCTAGATTCACATGTACGAAATTTGCTGTTACGTGACTTCAAAAGATGACAAAGGCATATGACTGGTGCAAACATAATACTCATGACATGCGTGTCATGTAAAAACATGACAACGTAACATATTCGTGTTGCGCTCGCGGCCCTTTTGCTAACTTCACATATAACAAATTCGGTATAACTGACATGAATGTACGACGAGCGTAAGCTACACGACCACGCATAATAACCTTGATCTGGAAGGCATGTATAGGCATACCTTACATCCACCTCGTAAGGTTGGGCTGATTGTAAAGTGCCATATCAACCTTCCTCGTGCGTGCTTCGCATATCATCGACTCCCACTGAACGTGGGATCTGCTATTTTGTTTTCTTTTAGTTTCTTCAAACAACGGCGTCTGTAGCGTCCCCTGCGCGTTTCCTCCAGCGCCGTGGCATTCGGCGCATTCTTTGGCCAGCTTTGCAGTTTTCAAGTCAAGTTAAGTCACGATCCTTGATGATGTGACGCACACAAACGCTGGGGGATTGACCAAGAACCGGAGAGTTTTCATAAATTACTTCCTTAAAAACAGGTTAAGAATAATCTATTTACGAGAAATTAAAGAAAGATGCAACAGAACGAATTTGATGGTTGAATTGTGAATAATCTGTAGTGAAATGCAATAAAGCGGCGTATTTGATTTATTGTGAATTTGAAAAAAATCAAATCTACCAAAGATTGATTTCAACACTTAAACCTCTTTGAACTTTTGACGAACTCCTGCAATGCATCGACAATCTTCCGGTCGCTGTGGCCAAGAGACCAAGCTCCAAAAGAAAGCACATTTTGAGTATTTAATTTTATTCCGGGAAGGTGGCAAACAGCACCTAAAGTGTTTTTTCGTAAGGCAGAGAACCTATTACAGTAAATGAGGTAATGTTCAGTTGACTCAGTTACTTTACAAACAGGACAATGAGAGGAGGCTGCCAAACCAGCTCTGTGTAAATATAAATTTAGCTGCTAAATTTGACAGTGAAATCTAGTGATTGCAACTTCCGTTCCTCACGTTTGACATATTTTACTATTCCGGTGGTATAACAGGTGCTTGAATTGTGGTGTGGCTGTTAGTGAAGGTGCACAAAATTCCTTTAACAGCAGTTTTTCTTCTTAATCTAGCGCCTATTAAGAATTTTGATGCCGGTAATACCTCAATAACAGGCCCATTTAAAGATGGCTTTGCCAGCGCATCTGCCATTTCATTCATATGAATGCCCTTATGTCATGGAACCCGCACCGATTTGATCAGATTGAGATGCGAGGAAACTAATGTTTTGAAAGCACTCTGAGCATGCGAGTTCTCATCTGCAGTAAGGGAGGCACAGACTGATAGTGAATCCATTAAAATTACTGCGGAAAATACTGAGGCAGTTATTTTATGGAAAGCTAGAATTATCGCAAAAAGTTATGCTTCAAAGATGGGCACGAAATCTAGAAGGCGAAGAGAAAAAAACCAGCCTAGGTCAGGAGAAAAAATTCTAATTCCACATTTTTCTTCCCTTTGTGACGCATCAGTTGCTATGACTGCTTGCATTGGCGTATGTGCCAGGTAACCTCTTAATATAGCTTCTAAAAAACTGAGTGGCATCAATTTTGAATTTTTCGGAAATATATCATCAAACTGTAATTTAATATCATTGTTAATGGTACTGATTAAAGAAACAGCATTAATTTCAACGTCTAAATTGTCTAGAAAGCACTGTATAACCAGAATTTGGTGTATACGAAATCTCGACCAGTAGTGTCCAAAAAACAAGTCAGGACGGTCAATAAAAACCGTTTCTAAGCACCTTACCGGCGATTCATACAGCCTGAGAAATACCTGTGTAGCTAACAATTTAAAACGGGTAGCAAGTGGGGGAAGCCTAGCTTCCAGATATGAGATCTGGATTGCAACAAACTTAGGGAGACCTAAGCATAGTCTTAAGGCTTGTCTCTCTATGACCACCAGAGTATATATCTTGTAGACAGGTGCCCCCGCGTATAACACGCACCCAAACTGAAG